TTGTTATTGCTTTGTTTGTTATGTGAATTGTGTGTGTCTAACCAGCAAGGTAAAGAGGCTTTTTATAGGCCTAATTTTGATAGTAATTTCTTGTACTGTGTCTGTGTGTATTTGTGTTTATGTGTTATGTGTATTTGTGTCTATGTGTTTGTGTATTTGTGTGTGTTTTAAACTAGTCAGCATGAGTTGAAGCAAAGATCATGTTGTGAATTATATGCATTTTTGTGAGTTTAAACTAGTCAACCTTAATTCCAACAAAGACCATATTTTGTGTGTGTGACTTTTTTGTTGTTGTTGTTGATAATAGTGTGTTTATAGGTAGTCAACGTGAGGTTACGCAAACATTATATATTGTGTTTTGTGCCTTTGGGTAAAAGAAAAAAGGAACTTTACGACAATTTAAAATTGGTCAAATTATACACTCATCGTTACATGTTTTGCTCAAAAATATCTCTAACTATCTAAATAGACCAAAAACATCATTCCTTCTAATGGTTGTTTCGAAATAATACATTCAATGTTTAATTATATACCGTAGCAGTTTAACAACTTTCTAAACCATCATCAAGTACATAATAAGTATAAATTAATTGTATAAAATTCGTTTTATATCTATTTGTTAACTCTTGTATTTAAATAAACATTATAATTAGATGTAAAATATTGATACAAAGTTTCCATATCGAAAGTTTCTAATTGCTCAACATTCAAAAAAAAGTTTCCATATCCAAAGTTTCTATATTCATCGTGTAAAAATCTAACATCTTAATTCAATTAGCGGGGTGGGGGGGGGGGATAATTCTTTCCTTTTTTTTCTTTTTTTTTTTTGGTAAAAATAAAGTTTCCATATCTGTTTTCTGTTTATATAAAACGTGCAAAAATATAAAAATTTCCATATATATGTTTTTGGTTTTAGAAAACGTATAAAATATAAAAAGTTACCATAAAAATGTAAAAGAAATTCCATAAAAAAATGTTTCCATAGTCGTTAGGGAATAGGAATGATAATAATAATCCAAAAAAGAAAGCGAAATCCTAATCCAAAGATAAACGTAAAGCCTCTAGCTATATATACATGTGAAATATTAATTAGCTTGTGCAAATTAATTAAACAAAAAACATGGAAAAATTTCCCTCATGTCTTGTTAAAGTAGTTGTAATATTAATGATACTAGTATGTTTTCCTTCCACCACCCTCTCTAGAAAACTATTACTGTCGTCACCACCATCAGAAATTGCTCCTCCAAAACCTCATAATAATATTGTTAACGATGAAGACAACAATCCAAAAGAGAAGGTGATTGATGATAGTCGTCGAAGCTGGAGTTCTCTTGATCTTGGTCACAAAATTACGATTATCCTATCTATATTTTGTAGCTTGCTTACAATTATCGGCCTCGTTATCGTGATAACATGGTTTATCTATTCCGAAGTATGGGGATATTGATCCATCTAACTACTCTATACCTTCTATTTTCTGTAATTTAATGAATAAACACTGTTTTTCTATTTTCGATCCAATTAATTTTTAATAGTTTTATTGTTTAGTGTTGATCCAACTTATTCAATAATATTGACATTTTATTATTGCTAAAAATATTATAATATGTATTTTTTGTATTTCTTATAAACTAAAAGTATAGATTTTTTTTCATTAGAAAAATTTACGTTAACCTTTGGTTTATTATTAATGGGTTGTTTATAATTATATAAATAAATATCTTTAAATTATTGTTCATTACAAAAAATTTTAAAAACTTTTCTTTGTTGGACTATGTGATTGAAGGGGAATCATACGGGTAGTGAGAATTGTAATTAGATACATAATACATTACAACAAAAAATATTTTTTAAAATTTGACAAAAAAAATAATCTAACACTCATTATATTTGTTAAAGATTATCAAGCAGCTCCATATAAATTGAGACTAAAAGAATAATATATTTTTTATATATTGAGACTCAAAGTTCTCAACTCATTTTTTTTCACGAAACTATTTCTTTGTGTTTTTCTTTTAGTAGCATGAGTCTTGTTGTACATCTCCATCTTGCTAAATTATGATGATTTTTCTTAAATGTTGGATGTTAAAGAGTTATAGTCTAGTTTCACTTTGATCATTGTTAATCTTGAAGGCAGAAATCTTGTTGAATATATTGTATAGAGTTATAAGTCTTTATTAACAATTCTGGACTGTATTATGGGATTATAGAGTTGGAAGCACTTGAATCTTTAGCCAGCCGTGCTATTGTATGCAATTTATCCAAACTCAAAGTATTAGGATGGAAGACCTGTCTGCACATATGTAGCTTATTCAAGTCTAACGAGTAGATAAGGCAACAACTGACTTGACTATCTATTTATATCTATGTATAGTTGTACATATGTAAGTATATTGCACTGGATTGGACACTGATTCACTTATGTTCCGCCAACAGCTAGCTTTTACTGGATCAATTGAGACCGGGAAAACCATACTTGAATTGGCTGCTAAGTGTTGGGAAAGGCAAGCACAGAATAAATGTGCACGACAAGGCTATAGCGGAAGAAAACCCAAGTCAAAACTTTCCCTTCTATTTGAACCAAGAGAAGACAAAATAATGCAAGAATAAAACTGTTTGGGCAGCAAACAAATCAACCAAGCAAGAAAAATAAATCAACACACGAGACACCAAATTTTAACGTGAAAAACCTCTTTGGTGTGAAGAGTAAAAATCACAAGGCCAAAGCTCCACTATAATCAACAAGAGTTACAAAGTGTTCTCCAAAATGGCCACCAACAAAGTGCCAAACAATGAGCAACACAACTACAAGATAGCACCAAAAAACTAGAGAAATAAAAGAAGCAAAAAACCAAACCCGCAGCTACTGTTTACGAGCTAAAATCTGGAGCTACAGGACTCCAAATCACCCTCTTTCAGTTCCCAATCAAAGATCCAGTTGAAAGGAACAAGCTGTCCAAAAATCAGCTCAATCGAATAAGAAACGAAGCGGGAATCACGATTTGAAAATGGCTGCTAGGGCTTGTGTGAAAATCTGCACTTTCTCACTTTTCTCTCTATATGACTGCTCTCAATCTGTTGTGATATATATCAAAATAAGACCTAAAAGAAAGTCTTACATATGCACCATAATATTGGGCTTATGGGCAAATTGGGCTAGTCAAATTTGGGCTAAAATTTATCCACAAAGGAAAGGAAGGAAGACCCAGATCCTTGGACTTTTATTTATCCACATAAGAAGGGAAAAAGGCCCAAAACCCAACAATTCTCCCCCTACCGACTATGTGGAGGAAACCGCCATCTCGACGATCATGCAACATTCTTCAAACTTTCCTCTTGGCAAATCTTTAGTCATCATGTCGGAACCATTATCATTGGTATGGATTTTCTCAAGTTCAAGCAACTTAGAATCCAACACATCTCGAATCCAATGATATCTTACATCAATGTGTTTAGACCGACCATGAAATGTAGAATTCTTGCCAAGGTGAATTGCACTTTGACTGTCGCAATAAAACACATACCTCTCTTGAGTACAACCAAGTTCCCCAAGAATCTTTTTATCCAGATCAATTCTTTGCAAGCTTCAACAGCTGCAATAAGCTCAGCCCTCTGTAGTAGATAAAGCAACACATATTTGCAACCTAAATTGCCAAAACACAGCCCCCCCCTGCAAAAGTAATCAAGTAGCCTGAAGTAGACTTACGAGTATCAACATCACCAGCCATGTCTGAATCATTATAACCACAAAGAATAGGTTTCCCTATCCCAAAACACAAACTCAGACTAGAATTGCCACAAAGATATCTCATAATCCACTTTACAGCATTCCAATGCTCTCTTCCCGGATTAGAAAGAAAACGGCTAACAATACCAACATCATGAGCAATATCTGGTCTTGTACACACCATTGCATACATCAAACTACCAACAGCTGAAGCATAATGAACTTTCTTCATATCTTCCTTCTCACCATCATTGGAAGGACAATGTCTAGTATTCTATTTGAGTGCATAGCTAAAGGTGTACTGACAACCTTAGTTTTGTCCATGTTAAATCTACGAAGTTCTTTCTGAATGTACTTCTCTTGTGACAACCACAATTTCTTGGCATCTCTTTCACGGACAATCTGCATGCCAAGAATTTGTCTTGCTGGTCCCAAGTCTTTCATAGCAAAAGACTTATTCAATTCTTGCTTCAAGTCTTTAATCCTGCAAGCATTATGACCAACAACAAGCATGTCATCAACATAAAGAAAAATGATAATAAAGTCACCATCAGAGAATTTTTGTACAAAAACACAATGGTCTGAAGAAGTCTTCTTGAAGCCCTGCTGACTCATAAAAGAACCAAACTTCTTGTACCATTGCCTAGGAGCTTGTTTTAAACCATACAAGCTCTTCTTACATTTGCAAACATAATTCTCCTTTCCCTTGACTTCAAAGCCTTCCGACTGCTCCATATAAATTTCTTCATCTAAGTCACCATGGATAAAAGCAGTTTTAACATCCATCTGTTCAACCTCCAAGTCCAGATTTGCAGCCAAGCCTAGAACCACACAAATGGATGACATCTTCACAACTAGAGAGAATATCTCATCAAAATCAATTCCCTTTTCTGGTTAAAGCCCTTCACAACTAATCTACACACGAGACACCAAGTTTAACGTGGAAAAACCTCTTCGGTGTGAAAGAGTAAAAACCACAAAGGCCAAAAACTCCACTATAATCAACAAGAGTTACAAAAGTGTTCTCCAAAAATGGCCATCAACAAAGTGCCAAACAATGAGCAACACAACTACAAGATAGCACCAAAAAGCTAGAGAAATAAAAGAAGCAAAAAGGCAAACCCGCAGCTACTGTTCACGAGCTAAAATCTGGAGCTACAGGACTCCAAATCACCCTCTCTCAGTTCCCAATCAAAGATCCAGTTGAAAGGAACAAGCTTTCCAAAAATCAGCTCAATCGAATAAGAAACGAAGCGGGAATCATGATTTGAAAATGGCTGCTAGGGCTTGTGTGAAAATCTGCACTTTCTCACTTTTCTCTCTATATGGCTGCTCTCAATCTGTTGTGGTATATCTCAAAATAAGACCTAAAAGAAAGTCTTACATATGCACCATATTATTGGGCTTATGGGCAAATTGGGCTAAATTTATCCACAAAGGAAAGGAAGAAAGACCCAGATCCTTGGACTTTTATTTATCCACATAGGAAGGGAAAAATGCACAAAACCAAACACTAAGAGCAATCTTAAGCCTGTGACATTAGAACTTGGAGGGAAATCCCCTTTTATCGTTTGTGAGGATGCTGATATTGATACAGCCGTTGAACAAGCTCACCTTGCTCTCTTCTTTAATCAGGTACTATTTCCTATCTATACTTCTTCATTGGGTGTTGGTCAGGTTCAAGTTAGATACTAACACCTATGACATAAATTTTAAAGGGCCAATGTTGTTGTGCTGGCTCTCAGACCTATGTTCACGAGAAAGTCTATGATGAATTTCTGGAGAAGGCAAAAGCACGCACCTTGAAACGAGTAGTTGGTGATCCGTTTAAATCAGGCACTGAACAGGGTCCTCAGGTATTGATGATCTCCTAACTAATCCACTTTCTTATCTAAAATGCTGGAAACCAATGTATTAAACCTGTACGACGAAAAACAAACCATATTTCCTTCCTTGTAAGTCTTTTTCTTAAGGTAATAATGCTATACATAAGAATTTTCCTGTCACAACAGACTGATTCAAAACAGTTTGATAAGATCATGAAGTACATTAGATCTGGTGTCGATAGTGGAGCTACTCTTGAAATTGGCGGTGAGTAATTTGGTAAAAAGGGCTACTATATTAAGCCCACCGTCTTCTCTTATGTTAAGGTATATACATTTTCACTTTAATAGACATGATTTATAGCATCAACGTCCATAAATTGTCATAACTAACAAATTGTACAATTGTCAGGATGATATGCTGATTGCACAGGATGAGATTTTTGGTCCAGTACAGTCCATCTTAAAATTTAAGTATGTGAGAACGATCAAATAGATATGTCAACAGTACATGGAAATTTATTATCGACTTCTATTTATGGTATGCATTTGTTCATTACAGGGATCTTGATGAAGTGGTACGGAGAGCTAATAGTTCTCGGTATGGTCTAGCTGCTGGAGTATTTTCGCAGAATATTGACACTGCAAACACCTTGGCACGAGCCTTGAGAGTTGGGATGGTATGGATTAATTGCTTTGATACGTTTGATGCTACAATTCCTTTTGGTGGCTATAAGATGAGTGGTCAAGGAAGAGAAAAGGGAGAATACGATCTCAGGAATTACTTGCAAGTGAAGGCAGTTGCGACAGCATTAAAGAATCCAACATGGTTATAAACATAATCCTCTTAAACAATTTTTACAAATAAAACTAAACCATCATGATATCAAATTGCTCTAGTTTATGATGTTGATGACGATAAATGTTGCTTTTCTTTCAAAACTTCTATATACAAACTGCATTTGATGTCAATAGGCAACTAGTTTTATTTGAGTCGTTGTCAACGCCATTTCTCCTTGCATATATGTTTTATCTATCCCGATGAAGATATAAAGTGTAAAAGCAAATCTTATTGAAATTCTGTGAGAACAAAAAGTTGGGCATTATTTCACATCAAAAGACAGTTTTGACAAATTATATGTAAAATAGTCTATTGCAACATAACACTTGAACAAAAGAAAATCAAAACAATTCAAACCATTAAACTAGATACAACTGAAAATTCTTGAACAAAAGAAAATCCAAACAACCCAAAACTTCAAAATACTCCGAATCTTTTCGAAGTTTCAATCAAATAACACCTGAACAAAAACAAATTAAGAGTTAGAATAGAATAATCTCAACTAAAAAAAATAGTGATATGAAAAACATTAGATATAAAAAACTTACCACATCGCAACACTAGAGTAAGAAAGAGTAAGGCAAGAACGTGGATGAATACCGTCGCACCAAACAATATTTTTTCAACTCTGTCGCCTTTTGGAACAAAAATTTCTGCACAATCCGTATCAACAATGTCCTCTATCCGTTGGAAGAATTGTGTCCTCCTTACACTCCCCTCCAAAATCAAATTCTCAACCCCATCTACGGCATTGACATTTGCTTGTTCCAATTCCCTTAAAACTATAGCCTCACTAACTAAATGCTCATAAGTGTTCAAGTGAGAAGCATTCAACCTTTGTAGGCTAGAGAGTTTTGTTGTTACCAATTTCTTAACACGAATTAAATTTAAAAGAGAAGCCAAAAGTGTCAATACTAAGATTTTTACTCCCTCGCTGCAAGTTAGTGTCCTCTGAGTAAAAGAAGCAGTCCCACCAAACAAAAACAGGTTTAAACTTTCATACACCGACTTGGATACATCCTCCATTCTTTTTTTCCAAATCAGTCAACGTCTTTTGCAATGTTGAAATCCTGCTCTGCACAGAATACAACTTAGTAACAAGTCTTTCCGAGACAAAAGGGTGGTGTGAAGTCAGGGGTGGCTCAATACCTTTAAAAATGAGGCATATGTCTTACGCCCCAAAATCGAAGGGCCTAATTTTTTAGTAGTAATAAAATTATCTTAAGCTTTTTTTTAACAAAAATAAAATAAAAATGTTTTAATTAGTTTCGAAGAAGAATGGAAATTGCTTTTAGCGTCACTTAGCTTGTCACAGTGGCAGCTCAAGCTAATTAGTGGCTTAAAGCCAAAAATAAGTTGGAGGCCCTAAATTTTAATTATTTTTTTATATATGAGATTCAATTTATTTCTTTCTTTTTAATAAAGAAAGTTTTACTTTTTTATGATCTTAAACTAAAGATATATATATACCAAAATATTTTTTAATCTTGTGGTCTCAAACATATCATGTGGAAGTTAAATTTAAAAATTGATCCATAAAAAAGAAACATTCTTAAATGTTTCGAAGCTAATTAAAACAAAAAGCAAAGAAAACTAACTTAATTTAAACAAAGCACATTACAAAATCTTTCAACGTTCCGAGCAACAAGTGTCATGTTAAGAAATAACCGATTAGTTTCTTTTTATTTCCTGTTAGTTTCTTTAATTTTTTGGTTGTATTGTAGAAGTAGCCATTTGATTTGGGAGAGAATCGTGGAGAGGGCACTTGGATAACTCGAAAATGACATAGAAATAAGACCATAAGAGAGTTTAATCAAATAAATTATTTTAATTTGAAGACTTTGATATTTGAAGAACATATAAAAATGCTAACCGTCGACTACAAAAAGAAAACAAAAACACCACATATTCATATTAGTGAACAAACAAACAACGAGAAAATGGCCAAATGACCCTCCAATCTATAACCGGATTTCCAACTACACACTTATACTTCACGGGGGTCCTATTACCCCCCTGAGTTATTTTAAAGTGGAATTATTTCCTCCCTAAAATGTCATTACCAGGCATCTGTCTTGTGGTGAAATACACACGTTTGACACGTGTATTTCACCATTTAATGATATTTTATTTTTAAAAAAGTTCTCCTCATTCCTCTTTCTTTCTTCCCTAATCATTTCTTCAACGCTAACTATACTGAACACTATTTCATACCTCAATAAATTTCTATATCTCTAACATTTTATAAAAACGAAAAATTCAACTCACCTTTTCATCTACTCCGAATCTCTAGAGTCTAGCAGATAGTCCCAATTAATCAAATCTTTCATCCAACTAATTCAACAATTTTCCACATTTTTTTACATTTCGTTCGATTTTCTTCCTTAGACAATTTCATATACACATTAAATGGGTCATGAACATTCGAGATCAGATTCATCCCTTTAAGATTCCGCCGACAACTCAAAATAATCGCGGATGAGAAGACCAATTTGTAACACCAATTTGAGAAACCTCTCTCTCTCTTCCCTATTCTTTATTATTTCTCCCTCTAAAAATTTCATGATTAATTTATAATTTGAGTTTTTGATTTTGATTCTTCATGGATTTTAGGAGAACATGTAGTATCCTTCTTTTAAAATGTAGAAGAAATTGTTTTGTTTTAGTTTGTTTTATTAAGTTTGAAAATTATTTTTTAAATATACTAATTTACTTCACTTTGATTTTGTTACTCTTGAATCCATCAACTTTAAAAAAATTAATTAATGGGTATTAGTTTTTTTTAAAAAAATAATTTAATTTGTTAGATATGTTCTAAATAAGTTTATTGAAAAAATATTTATTCATTAAATGCATTTGTTGTTGATAATTTTTGTTCCAAACATCCATTGAAAAAACTTCAACAATGATAATGGTGAAAAATGTTGTATAGATGAATAAGAAGAAAGAGAAAGAAAAAAGAAAATTAGAAAAAAATGGAAATTTAAAAAAAAAATAGGCAACTCACTCTCTCAAAGAGAGTGAAATACACTCTTTATGCCAACTCAGCACTTAAGGGGTTATTTATTCCATTTTAAAGTAGTTCAGGGGGGTAATAGGACTCCCGCGGAGAATAGGTGTGTAGTTGGAAATTCGATAATAGGTTGGGGGTCATTTGGCCATTTTCTCAACAAACAACCTAATTTCAATTCAAACAGAAAAATTTAACTAAAACAGTAATCAATTTCACCCAATTCTAACATGAAGAATGCTGAGACATAACTAAGAAAACATAAACAGCAGACACTGTGAATTGTTAGTGAACATTGTATGTATAGATTGCTGGGTCTTAGACGTCGTTTGTTTTGCTGTGTATGGCTAGTGGATGTTTTGTCGGAATTGTTGACAGCGTGTTGGAATATTGGTGGGCTTGGGTCGATGCTGCTGATTATTGTTGTTGTGGGCTGTTGTAATTGTGTTAATATTGGTTTGAAGTTGGGATGAAATTGTGTTTAAGGGAGTTAAATTAAGGAAGGGGAACTTTCGTATATAGCCACTCAAAAATAGTTTAATTATGCTACATAACTAGAGTTTGCTAATTACGATTCGTAGCTACATGTTATATGTATGAGAGTGGCAAGCGAGATTGGGAGAGGGAGGAGAGAGGCGAGCGATAGAGGGCAAAAAGTGGGAGAGGGGTGAATTGTATATGTATATCGATTTGATAATTGTATATATGTAACTGGTATATATATGTATTTGTATATATGGAGAGCGAGATTGGGAGAGGGATGAGAGATGTGAGTGTAACATGATCTCGCAATTTGAGTTTTTGGTCAACTTTAAACGGCCATAACTTCTAGATCAGGATGAGTTAGGTGTAATTCCAGTTATGGTTGGAAAGATCTTGGAATGATCTTTCCAACGCCGCCGAGTTTGCGCAAATCCGAGTTCGTATGAGTAAGTTATTCCCTTTGGAAGTTGGGTTGTTGGAATAAGGAAAGTGCAATCCGAATTTTTAAAGGGTAGTTTGGTCTTTTTCTTACCCTTTTATTTTAATTCGTTTTTTTGTAATTAATTAGGGGCCTAAGCTGAATTAGATCAGTTTACGCTTTTGGAAAAAGGGTTAGGGTTTTGAGAGAAGAGAAAAGAAGAGGAGAAAGAAGAAGAACGTTCAAGATTCGTCAATTTCTTGGATCTTTGCTTGTGGATTTCGTCGGAGGGGGGGTGGGGGATCCCTACAAGGTATGTGAGGTCACATAACGTTGGGTTACTTCTCCCATGCGCCAATCATGATTCAATTCAGCGAAATATGTTTGATTTGAAAGTAAATTCCTTAAGTTCTTGATGATATTCGTTTGAATTCTTTTGGGTTGTGTTGTTGAAATAGCTGGAGATTTATTCACGTTTTAGTAGTGTTTTTTTTTGGAGTAGAATCTGATGTATATTGAGGGTTTAATCGATTCTAAGTGTTGAGTAAAAGAACCTATGGAGTTTAGAGTTGAAAAACGAAGAGGAATTTTCGTCAAACAAGATTTGATAGTGGTGGCGCGTCGTGCACCTAGTCCCAGATTTTGAAAATTTCTGCTTCGCGTCGTGGAGCTGAAACGAGGTGTTCTGCCTCAAAAGACGTTTTCGGAACCAAAATTTAATTATGCCTCCGCATCGCGGACCCACCTTCAAATATTGATTTTTCAATCTTTCTCAGGTTTAGCTATCTAGAATCATTCCTAAACATCATGAGATCCTTCTAATCACAAATCTTAATCCTTGAATCCATAATTCAATTCAAGGATCAGTTAAGAGTCAAGTCAAGATCAGTTAAGATCAAAGTCAAGAGAAGTCAAGAGTCAAGTAAGAGAAGTTCATTTCAAGCTTTCATAAGTCTTTTACAAATGTTATAACTTTGTTTTAAGACTTAAGTTTTGAGTTCAGTAAAAAGTAATGTTGAAGTTCTTTTCTTCAAAGAAACATATGGGGACTAAGTATTTCCCAAAGAGATTTAAAATGTTTTACACATTTAAATAAGAGCGGAAACTGAGATTTCCAAAGTCCCTTCGGGCTAGTTTTCATAAAAGAGTAAATGCTTTCATAATTAAGCAAGAGGGGAAACTTTGATTTCCAAGATAGCCTT